TGTATTACTGAGCTTTCCAAAGCTCACTCTGTTACTCACTATTTCAGGTCAAAATGATTGAACCAGTGCAACTATCGACATCAATAAAGGAGTTCCACCGGCGTTGCTTGCGAAGTATGGTGCATGTGATTAGGGGGCATGTAGATTGTATTTTGTTTTTATATTCGAGTATGAAATCTGTTTTATTTGTGAATATTGGTAAATTTTACTTTTGTATTTAAAAATTGTTTTATGATTTTAAGTGTTTTAACAGAAATTTTTAATTTTCTGGGATTTTTACGATGAGTCGCTCCGGTGACCCTAATGTGACACCTTGAATCTGATCGGGTCTCCCACATCTGTACGTGGGTGTTACATAAGGCCTTAAGATATAATGTAATTGTGCATAAAATGATAATGATGCCATTGCATAGAAATAACTGGTGAGGAATTTTTGACATATTAATATTGTCCAAAATCAAGTCATAATGTTAATGGGTCTGCCATGTTGCATGGTTCTGAAGTGGACTTGTGACATCATATATTCTTCCTCTATTTTAGAATATCCGGTTGAGGATAAACTAGAGTTTCTCTATAGGATTTCCCATGGTTTTGTTTTATTTTTTATATTTTATTATTAGAGTTTGTATTTAGTTGTACTGTCACTTTATAAACCTACACATTAATAATAAACCATACGCTAAAATAAATTAAAAACTCTAAAAAACGAATATGTGTAACTAAAAAGTTGTTAATTTTATATAGAATTTTTTTATAAAAAAACTTAGCTAATAATATATAAAAAATATATGAAAAATACTTTTATAATTATCTCAAGGTGAATCCAGCTTAATAAAAAAATTCAACCTTAAATGGAATTTCATAAAAAAAAGTTTGTCCCTATCGAATTGAGTCACAATTCATCGGTTATAATTCTTTTATATTATTAATATTGAATTTTAAAATATTTTTCCAGTTAAATTTTAATCATCTTTCCCCCTCTCTTATAAAAAAATTATTATCATATGACATTATATAAATATTGAATCACATTTAGACTTATACTATATCAATGTATCAAAATATTTATTTAATTAAAATCTATCACGTGGTTTTAGTGGTAAACATTCTTTTTAAGAGTTTCGAATTCGAACAATTACATTTATAGAGTATATATACGTTTTCAATTAATTAAAAAAATTCTAAACTAATTCTAAACTAATAGAAAATATTTATTTAGTTAAAATCTATCAAGTGATTTTAGTGGTAAACATTATCTTTAAAAGTTTTGAACTCGGACAATTATATTTATAGAGTATATATACATTTTCAATTAATTAAAAAATTAAATTAATAAAAAATATTTATTTAATGAGCCCACCTTATTTGAAAGATGTCTTTCTCAGAGGCGGGTCCAAGATAAAATTTCAGGGGTTGCAAGAGCCCCAGGGATGACACTTGTATTATGGGTGGCACTTGTGGAGGGGTTGCTTAGGATATCCCGGACACCATGGAGGTCCGCCCCTGGATGAGGCTTTGCCCGGGATACCCCGGGCACCATGGAGGTCTGCCCCTAGCCTTTCTTATTTTGAAAATGATGTTGTCTAAGCTTAAGCAAGCTTCACAATGATTGCCTCTTTTATTGATCGGAAAGCATAATGAGATACTAAAACATAGTATATTTTATTGCAATTGATCATAAGCAGATAATTGAATGACAATGTAAACTTTTTAGAGTGCACTCCTTTGCTTGCCATTCAACACAAATTATATATAGTTTATTTTTAAAATAAATTATAAATAATATTTATAAAAGTAATATATTTATAAAATTATTATATAAATATTATAAAATTTAATCATTAAATAAATAATATTAATCTCAACTAAAATTTATTAATATAAATATTATTTTTTTCAACAAAATGACGTCATTTTTAGCGTCAAAATAACCATATAAAATAATATTGTTTTAGTGTGATATCTATATCAACAACAATCAGCCATATCATTACACTGTTACCGAATTAACACCAATGATATAATTGAAACATAATTCAAAATTTAGTATTATAATTGAAGTAATTAGATGTTCAGCAATATAAATGATACGCATATAATATTTAATGGTATCTAGTATTCTAGTATAATTTACCCTGAATGCAAATAAACACATATGACAAACTCACAAACGGACTAGTGTGTTCAAATTCGGGTATCATAAACTTTTGGGTCACAAAAATTCGGCTCATGACCTGGCCCATAAGAGGCGGGTACCTGTAAGATGGGTACCCATAAAATTTGGGTATTCATATTTTTTTAGGTCACGGGTACACGGTTAATATTTATTTTATTTTATTATTTTATACTATTTTAAAAAAAAAAATCCACATAGAGAATACATAAATTTTAAAACTTAAAATGTTATAATACATGACATAAACATAAAATTTATAAATTCAAAGTATATATTTTAAAAATAAAATTTAAAAGTATAAAAAATAAAATAAACTTATAAATTTATAATTAAAATTCAAATAATAATTTGAAAAGAATATAGATTTAGAATGCTAGGATAAAATAATTTTAAAATATTAAAAAATAAAAAAAATCTTATTTAAATAAAAATAATAATAATAATAATATAAAAGAAAATCTGGGTCGACTGGTTGGCGGTACCTGGTTAAGGATAATTTTGTGACTTGGGTTCGACCTATAAAGCCACAAAAAATAAGGGGTCAGGTATTTGATCCGCAAAATCATGTATTTACCATTAAAATATCTGGTAATTTTATATCAAGTCGGTGATCAACTGATCGGGTAGTTCAGGTCGGGTATTTTTGAACACCCTAAAATTGACAAGAAAAATTCTATTAGAACATAATTGGGTAAAGTACACAAATGGTCCCTCGACTAGAGGATATTACTTTATTAAGTCTCTCAATTATTAAAAGTTACGAAATGATCCTTTGACTATAGGGTGTTGCTTCATTGAGTCTCCTGGCTAATAAAAGTTACAAAATGGTCACTCGAATATTCATATGTTCTAAACTCGTCATTTTTTGTTAAAAAATTGACGGTACTCTAAGCTAGATGTTAACCTATTGATTGAGATGTGATAAAATATGATCCCAGAGTCTCAAACAACTATCATATCATAATCAAAATGTTAAAGTCCATCTCATATTTCAATCAATTTTTAACAGAAAAGAATGAGTTTGAAACATATGAATAGTCGGATGATTATTTTGTAATTTTTAATAGTCGAGCCACTCTACAAAACAACGAACTTTAGTTAGAGGACCATTTTGTAACTTTTAATAGTTGGTTGATTCAATAAAGTAACACCCTATAATCGGGGACCATTTGTGTACTTTTACCCTAAATAATAAATGATCAAATTAATATTCCGTGTAAGATACTTTTTAACTTTGGAAATGTATGATAGTCTATTAAAAGTTTCAATTTATTAAAACTTAATAATATTAATGATCCAACATTTAACTATATTAAATAATAAAAATTAAAATTATATATTAGAAAATTTTCAATGAAATCATGTTGAAAATTTCAAATAAATGATGGCCTACTTATAGTTATACGTAAGGATGTTGAAAGGGTTAATTTGGTCATTGATCGAATCGAATATTCATTAGTCGAATTAATCGATTTTTTTAACATTAATTGAACTATTATTTTTGAAAATATTAACTGAACTGAATAAAGTTCGATTATTTTGGTCGGTTTATCGAATTAATCAGACTTTTTTATTAATTTTTAATTAGATTAACTTTAATATAATAGAAATATTTTTTTATTTGGATTAAAATTTAATTAGGTATTGATAATTTAAGAAGTATGGTGTGGTTAAAAAAATAGTTGAGTATTAATTCCTAATGGGATTGAGCTTAAAATATGTATTTAATATATATAATATATTTAATATTTAATAATTTCAGTTAATTAACTGAATTCAAACTAAATTAACCGTTAACCGAATATTAAAAAATTATTAATTGTTTTCTGACCAAACTAATTCAGTGGCCGATCGAATTAATTGACCTAATTCAGTTCGATCAGTTAATTCGGTTAAAACCGAAAAATGAACACCCTTGGTTATATGCAAGGAAGAATATTTCAACATTTTATTTATTTATTTGGTATATTCCCCGGTTGAATACTATAGAGACAAGAACAACCCGCCTAACTCTGTTTGCTCTATTCATAATTTATTTATTTATTTTAACTATATTATAATTAAAATATATATTTACTAAAATATTATAAAATAATTTATAAATTTAAAAAATAATAATTTAATATTTATTTTTAATATTCAATTGATTAACACTTAATTTTTTAAATGCGTTCAATATATGAATTTAATGGGATATTAACAAGACAACCCATTATGGTGATATAATAGTTTTATTTTGTTTATTAATTTGAAATGATTATGATATAATATTTATTTGACAAACTCTCAATTATTTAATAATAAATATTTTAATATCTCAGCAGATAATATACTCGAATTTGAGACATCTAAAAATAATAATAATCATTTCAAACAATAAAATAGTTTAATTTATATATATATTAAATTTAAGTCAAATAAATTAATTTTAATAAAATAATATTCATCAATTCGAGCAACATATTTTTTTCTATTTGATTTGTGATGGGCCTTTCGCTCTGTATCTATGTATTTGGTTTGAGAAGGCTGGCTTTCTGCTGTTGTTGGGTCCGCATTAATTCATGGATTTCTCAAAATTTTCCGGGAATCTTTCAAATGGTGTTTGAGCAAAAGAAAAGAAATGTTCACATGATCAATAAGAATACGTAAATCATAAACAATCCATTTGGCATATCATCAACACACAAACTGACAAGAGAAATTGCTAGTTACTATTAAGAAAATTAAATAAAATATTCTGTCCTCATAGCACGCTTTTTAGCTTAATTTATAGAATTTTTAAAAGACTTCACGCTGACAACACAGAGAATCGAAGCAGTAGTATAATAAAGCAACCAATTCCATTAGAATCATCTTCAATTCTACATTTTCTGGGGTCCAAAGTCCAAAATCAAACTAAGATTTAGATCTCATAATCATTGTAAAGAGTTCGTTTTCATGTTCAAACAGTGGAAAATGAAAATGGGTTATCTTAGAATCGCTTCAGTTTTGCTCCGAATTCTTGTCGTCAGCACGGGAATTTGATTTTCTTTTCTGGGTTCATGAGATAAAGATCTGGGATATATATAAAAAATGAAATCAGCTGGGATAAATTTGGTGATGACCATAATAGGGTTCACAATGAGTATTATGTTCATCGTCTTTGTTTGTACTCGTTTGATTTGTGCTCGGATTCAGCTCATTGCTTCTCGGAGATCCTTCCCTGTTGCTTCAAGATCTGGTCCTAGTATAGTAAGTTTTCTTCTTCCTTTTTTAATCCTTAAAATATCCAGAACTGGGTACTATCCTGTTTGTGTGGTAGAGTAATTCTTGGCTTTATTAGCAAATCTGGGTTTGTAGGGTTCAGCATTACTGATGGAAAAGAGTTTCAATATTAACACTCATTTTTTTTTTTGTTAATTTTACAATTCGTTTTTCATAATCAGCAATGAAAGTTTGAGTTTTGTGTGTACTGAAGTGGAAATTCATAAGGTTCTTTTAGTATAAATTATAAATTGTCTATCTTCTTTGAAGATTAGTAGTGTTTTCTTCTTTGTTGATATGTCATCTGAACTTGGGAGATGAGAAGAGAAAGGAAAAATGGTTTGTCTTTTTGGTTATTTTGGTGGGTACCAAGTGAACTACATTAAAACCAACCACACAGAGATCAGATAGAAATTGAGTGGTATTCAGCCCTTTTCATGGTGTGGTGCAGCTCGAACGGGGTTTGCACGGTCTCGAGCCTGTTGTTATCGCCAACTTTCCCACCAAGAAATACAGTGATGCGTGCTTCTTGGCTTCGGAAGATGCTCAGTATGTTTTCGGAACCTTTGCTTAATTTCAGCAATCTCTGCCTGCTGTTTCAGCCTATAACATTTTACTTTATATTGCATCGATGAATTTTCTTTAATTTGCTTTTTTTCGGGAACGAGTGTTCGATGCCTAGCATCTATGATACTCCAACTAGGGTATGAGTTTCATGTAATGATATGTATCTGAGGCTGGTATGCTCGAATTTGTTTTAAAGTTTTCCCTTGTATTTGGAGGATCATTTGATTGTCTACATGAATACTTCAAGAAAAAACAGAGTAGCCTAGGATTTGCTAGTGAGTAATCAGTTTTCCGCGTTTAAATCTTTCGGTACACAGTTAATATCAAACATTGGCAATGACCATAAGAAGACTATTTGCAGTTTTCGGTTGGATTTGTGAGCTTAAATTAATGATGAGTGTAATGTCTAATGAAGTGATATGAATAACTGAAGCTTTTGCTTTAAGGTCGTGAAGCATACATCAAGTCATCATTGTGATCTAGGAAGGTTGTTGCTATTTCCCCGAGGGCGCAAACAATAATATGAACTTTTTTTCTTCTTATTCCTGGTATTTTTCCCATGCATGTTTTTGGTTGAGAATTGAACATTCTAATCCCTCATATTTTGGCTCTTCTATTATTTTCTCTTTATAATATTGAACTTTTTATTCTGCAAAAAATGAAAAACAGAGCTTAAATAACACTGATAGGAGACAGCAATTCTTGAGATGTCTAAATTGGAAGACAGTGCATAACTGGAGGAAGATGAATAGATGTCAGGGACTATTAAAATCTTGAGCTAGTTAGAATCTTGATTTTGTCTACTTAAGTAACATGGATATCCGTGAACTAGCCGAATGCGAACATTCTCTATACTTGATACTGTATTCATGACATAGTATCTTCAAATGTGTTGCAAAATTAAGAAAATAGATGTAACCTCGAATAGCCTGAGATATACAGAAGTTTTAGTTCAGCCTGGTCTAACAAGCTTCAGTCTTGCCTTTAGTTTATTCTTATGTATTGAATGCCAGAAGAATCACAGAATCACTTATGAGCCGCCCTAGAAATGATGTTTTGTGTGTCATATGTACAGTTAATGAACAACATGCATGAGAAACGAATGGTTATGGAAATGCCAACTAGGTAGGCTCAGGCTGGTCTTTCTTCAGTTTCTAGTTATTCCGAGTTTGGTTCATTTCGTGTTCAGATTCCTTTGTTTCAATCATTTTAAATTCGAGCTATTTTAGTTTCTGGTCCACAATATGATAGATGCTGAGTTTGGTCATCCTTGGCTTAGTCCATGTTGTCGACTTTTATCGCATCGTTTCTAGTTTGGATTGTTGCTAACTTGAGTTACTTGAAAGATACCTTATGATTTAAGGATGATTTGCATCTCCATATTCTATCGACAATTTTTACCATTTCTTGGCAGGTGTATAGTTTGCCTTTCTGAATACCATGCCGACAATATCTTGCGTATCCTGCCCTATTGTGGCCACTTCTTCCATGTAACTTGCATAGATACGTGGCTGCAACAGCATTCCACATGTCCCGTCTGCCGGCTATCGCTGCGTGAATCTTCTGAGAAGAAGCGTTTGATGCAACCGTTGTTCAGTTCCACCATTCGATCTCATTTCGGCACGCGACGCCATGGCTTCCCATCGAGAAACGAAAGCCGTGGGATGGACTCGGGTCTGGAAAATTCCGGGAGAGATGGATCGGAAGCCGGGCAGAACATACCCCCAACAACCGAAGATGATGAGGCCACCATTAAAGACTCGAGAGGCAAGCACGTAGAAAGCCCTTCAATCCCTTGAATTATCTTGGTTTTCGGATCCTGTATTTGCTCGGACTCTTCATTTTTCTTGAAGCACCCATGTCTCACACTCGTGTCTGAAACATGGATACGGATATATGACCTCCAAAGATCCTCCAAGTACATGAAACACGATAGAAAAATGTGATCATATGCGGGTCATATAAATGTCCGTATCCGACAGTCAAACCCGAGTTCGAGTAACATTAGTGGATCTCCTCCTTGAGAAGTGTACTGTTCTCTGTTTTTGTGGCTTACTGTAAATAAATGTGTAAAAGGCCAACGTTGTTCTATCCTTATTCCTTAACGTCTCAAACTTGAAAAAGAAAAACAATCATTTTAAGCTTAAAAATTACTTGAACTTATAGTTTTTTGTCAAATTGAACAAAAGGTACATATTTCTTAATTTTTTTATATTTTATATTTTTATAATTCTCACAATTTTTAATAACTAAAACTTCTAAATTTTTATTTTTTAAATACTGATATTGATCACACTTTTTAAATCAAACTGACATCAAAAAAATATTCAATTAAGAAAATAATAACTTTTAGGGACTAAATCATACATAAAAATATCGGTGAAAACACATTTCAAACAGGATTGGCCCTCAAAGATTGAATTACCATTTTGAAACCATTTCATTCCGGGGAATCATAATCTAAAATAGTATCCAACAACTTAAAGGCTTAATTTCAGAAGAATTATCAAGTTACCAAAATTCAAAGGATCAATCTTTCGTGAAAAAGATTGAATTTTTTTTATAGTAATAGCCATTGGATGGTTTTTTTTTTCACTTTAAACCCGGTCTCGCCCTGTCCCGAAATTATACACCACATAACTCGTCCTGCCTCATCCCAAACCTCAAAATTTAAGAAAGATTGCCTCTAAAAAGTCGGATCGAATAAAAAACTGCCGAGTTCAAATATTTTTGACAAACTCAAATACGAATCTAGAAAATAATAAAATAAAATAAACCACTTTAGAAATTCAATAGGGAAGACTAGTTTTTCACTGAACTTTTTCATGGATGGCGTTTTTATCCCTTAAATTTGACTTCCTCGTTCACTTTTGAGTTGGCGTTTACCATTCAGCCAATTTTGGAGGGTTTCTTTTTATAATCATCATAACCCGATCAAATAATTGAATAATTCGAATTAGGTATTATAGATAGGATTGAGCAACGAAACCGAAAAAATCGAAAAAACTGACACGAATCGAGTAAAACGGTTCGGTTCGATTTGGCATTATACGGTTCGGTTTAAAGTCTCAATTCTTTTGATTCGGTTCGGTTCGGGTTTTCTATATGGAATCCATTTATTCCATATTGAACCGAATAGACAATTTTTTTTTAAAAAAATTATAATTTCAATTGCTTTTTTCATTGAAAAACCGATAAACCGAACCGAAAAACCCGAACCGTTAAAAAAATCGAACCGAACCGAAAAAAGTAGTTTCGGTTTTTTTGATTTTTTAACCATTCGGTTTCGGTTTAAATTTTGAAAAACCGTTTATTTCGGTTCGGTTCAATTTTTGGTAAAAAATCGAACCGAATACACCCCTAATTATAGAAATAAGGGTGATCCTCTCAACATAATTTATTCTATCCATAAATATCAAGATTCAAATAAAAACTTTAATATCTTATTTCACTAGATTAACCGACCGATGATAGACAACTTCTGGGTTTTTCATTACAAGTACTAAATAGCAACAATTGAAGTAACCAAGACTGGTGCACCATCAAACATTGTTGGTTTTTCTCAACAAGATAGAATTTTATTAAATATAAGGCAGTAATTGCCTAAACTAGAAGGGGGGAAAAAGCAGTACATGCTTAACATAACACACCAATTAAGGCCTAAATTAAAAGCCACTTGAGAATAAATCAGTCACAAAAGTCCACCCACCGAAACATTAGCAACTGCATCCGGCCAGAAATGAACAACCCCAACTAATAATTAACATCATCTAAGAGACATTATATCGGCAAATTTGTTCTCAAGTAGGATGATGCAGATTTTATTTTTTCAAGTAAGATGATCTCCAGGCCCGGCCCAATACATGTGTCAGATGAGCCTTAATCCAGGGTAGTATGTTTGAGGGGCATCGGTTCTTTTATTGAAATTGATTCAACAGCTTCTTCCTTGGGATATAGACGGATTATGAGAATAAGAGTGCGGGTGGATACTAGACTTCCTCTCAAGCGGCGAAAAAAAAGCTAATTTTAGCCAATGGCAATCAACATTATGTCCACTTCGAATATGAAAAGCTGACTGTCTTTTGTTTCTTATGTGGAAAATTGGGTCATGGAAAAAGCTATTGCCCCCAAAGACCCACCGGCAACAGTAAAAATTTTGTTCTTGAATGAGATGTGTCTTTGCGTGCACCACCATGGAGAGCGGCTCCACCACAGAGCAGATGGCTGAGGGAGGAAGGAACAGTTGACTTTCATTCATTGCAACCAAATCCGGCGGGATATGGGGGAAAGAATCCCAGTGATAGATCATTTGGTCCCATGATTAACGACAGTCATAAAAAGGAAATTCAAGAATCTGTTTTGATGACCACCCACTTACCTCAATATGTGGGAAATAAGGATCCTAAAAATCCGCGTGGGACCCTATATTTGTTTTTTTTTTATGATTCAAAGTTAATTTTATTACTTGATGACGAACTAAAAAATGTTGTTTAAATCTTGAGTTCAATTTGATAAATGGTGAAGAATTTGATATTGGTGGAAAAAATTTATTTATGAAATTACAAATTTTATAGAAAATATTGCTGGATGAAGCACACAAAGGTGAAAGTCCATGAACATCTATTCAAATAATGGAGTTTGCAAGAAGAATGAATATGTTCCCTAAAATGTTGATAGCATATAAAATTTTGTTGACAGTACCAGTTACGGTTGCTTCCGCGGAAAGAAGTTTTTCAAAACTGAAGCTCTTGAAATCCTATCTTCGAAGCACGATGATTCAAAATAGATTGAATGTATTAACGATTCTAAGCATCGAAAGTCAATTTTTACAAAGTCTTGATTATTGTAAAATAATAGAGGTATCCGATTTATGCCAGGTCAATTTAATGGTTCAACTCGAATCAAGTCAGGTTCAGGCTGACTCAAGTTTAGGTCATTTTAGTTCAGATCAATATAAGTTCAGGTTAAAAACAGATTGGGTCTGAATCAGTTAAGTTAGGTTCGGATGGACTTCAAGTCGAGTCTCGTTCAGATCGATTCACATCATTGACGAATAAAATTCAAAGTCAGATCTTACTGAGTACGGATCAACTTCAGTTTGGGTAATTTTTGGATTAATTATTTTCCGCCTTTCATAAACATTGAATTGTAATTTTAATTGTATATGGTTTGGAGTAAATTATAAAATAGAACTAATTATTGGCTAATTTAGGATAAAAATCTACTTTTAAGGATTGAATTGAACAAACATAAAATTAAAAACTAGAATTTAAATAAATTAAACAACATGTGTGGATGAAATTGAAACAATTATAAAATGTGAAGCTGAAATCAATATAAAATGGACTAAATTGCATTCATTTAAAAAATTGATAAACAAAAGTTTACATGGTTTGGAGATTATGATATAATTTTATAGGGGTTGAAATGAAGTCTATGATGTGATTTATAGGGTTTGTAGTAAATTACAAAAAATAGAAATAATTATGGCTAATTTAGGGCAAAAATAAACTTTTAAGGACTAAATCTGACAAACTAAAATTTAAATAAATTAAAAAAGCATTCATGGATCAAATTGTAACAATTGTAAAATTGAAATTAGTATCAAATTGGATTAAATTGCATTCATTTTAAAAGTTGGTGTACACAAAGGTTTGAAGATTATGATATAATTTATAGGGTTTGAAATGAAATTTATGATGTGATTTTTAAGGTTCGGAGTAAATTACAAAAAAATAGAAACAATTATAGGCAAATTTCGAATAAATTAAACAACATGCAGGGATCAAATTAAAACAATTATAAAATGTAAAGCTAAAACAAATATCAAATTGAACAAAATTACATTCATTTTAAAAGTATAGCCAGGGCATCGAATGAAATCTGAGATTGACACGATAAAATGAGGCCACTTAAATTTAGCCCACAACGCAAATGTAACCACTAAATGTACCTAATATAAAAATATAAATGATTTATTTATTATAATTTATGCATATAGAAAGTAAATTTTTTAATCTAATGATCATAATTAATTATGTGTCTTAAATGGTGAAGAATTGTTATTTTTAATATATTTATCAATCATAAATTATTAATTTAATTTAACTTTTAAATCTTTTTATATATTATATTATAAAAATTAAATTTATTAATCTAATGATCATAATTAATCATATATTTTATATGGTGAATAATTATTTTGTCAATTGTCATATTATAATATCAATTGCTTATTAAAATTTTATAACTTACAAGTCAGATAAATATCAAGTTGGGTACATATAAATGGGTTAGGATTCACTTATGTAATGTAAAACTCTTTAGTTTTACACAGATTTAAGACCGTTGGATGAATGAAAAGATTATTGAGATTGACTCCTTGTTTTTTTTCCAGTAAATATCTTCACATTTCTTACTTTTAATCTCAACCAACTGTTTTCACTCATCCAATAGTCCTAATTCTGTGTAAAACTAAAAGAGTTTTACATTGTGTAACTAAAAGAGTTTTACATTGTGTAACATGATCCCTATATATATATATATATATATATTTAAAATTATTTTATATAATCTAATTTTTAATCTAATAAAATTAATAATGATTATAATTATTTTTATTTAAAAAAATCAGTGACCAAAATTGAAATTCAATTAAAATCAGTGACCAAAAGGAATTTTTTTAAAATAATTTGGGTCTAAATCAAGAAGCAACCAAAATTAGAGGACCTATGGCATGATTTTGCCATTTTTCAATTTTGGGAGCTTAAAATACCTCAAAGCATCACGTTTCCATTTCTGGAAACTTTTTCTCTCTCTTCAACTTTCCTTTATAGAAAACTTGAGCCAAAATTCTTTAACATGGTTTTACTGACGATCAGTTTTCGTTTTCGACACCGCCATCATAATCGGTTTCCTTGTATTGTCCCGAGTCTATCGGTGTTCACCTTGTCGTTAGAGTGGGGAAGGGTAAGCATAAACAAGTTTCTGAAGAAACGTAATTGGACTCTCCACCGTTCACCGTTGTGAACCGAGGTAGGTAAGTACTTTAAATCTCTTTAAAATGAATTTAGAAATTTTTTAAAACTTTTCTCGTTCCCAAACGCAGTCGCGTGCGCCCTCACAAGTCCCATTGTGCGTGGGGATCGTCCACCGCCTAGAAGAGGGTCAACCCGACCCATTGACCTGACCCATATTTGACCCGCTACCTGATTCGTACCTAACCCGTGTTCGACCCATCTTACCCAAACCCCAAATTAAATCAGCCCAAATTAAATTGACCCAAACTGAACCGGCCACTTTGAGCCGCCTCCGTTGACTGTTGACCGCCTCTGTTAACCGTTGATCGACGTTAACTTTTTTTCAAAAACCTCCCTCTTTACATTTTTTGACGTTTTGATTTTGTGGTCTCTCTCACCAAATTATAACCCAAAAGGCCCGAATCGAGCATGTTAAACAGAAAATGCTTAGTATTTTTAACATTTCTACTTATTTATCTGGGATTTGATTATAGAATTGATTTGGGTTTGTATTTTCATGAAGGTACCCATGAGTCCCCTGATCGAGGGTTAACTAGACTCGGTGCGTCTCGCCTGATTGATCAGTCTGGTTCACGTTCTTCGAGAGCTACTCATAGGTTTCTGTAAATAGTTAAATTAAAGCTTATTACTTATTTTATTAGGATTTTGATTTACATTATTCTGATTCGTAGGGTCTAGCACTATCGCTGACCGTGATAGGCAAACTCGAGAGTAGGCTACCATCCCAAACTTCTCAGATCAGTATATGTGTGTTCCTATTGGTGTTACAGTATTATTTTGAAATATCTGTCTAAACTATTTTAAATTTATGATTTTATTACACTCTGACTGCATGATATCTGATTACCATATTCTTCTGACATGATCTCTAGTTACTAAATTTTGCATCTGATTTTGGAATATAGCGTGTTTTAATATTTTAATAAATTAAATTATCGTTTTCACTCAAATACATGCATATTTACTATTATTGGGGGGTATGATTGGAGAAAGCATCTCAGAATTAGTCTATGACTTGTAAGACCTTACCGCATGCTCCTCTGTTTTGTGCACATGGTAAGTCCTTACCATAGGTCCTTATACTATTAGTATAAGGTCCTTATCGAGTGTACATGTGGGTGTATGGTTCAGGGTAACTTATATATTCTGGTGTTCGAATGAGGGTAGTGTTCATGTTTTCAAAACCTATTTTATACTTGACTTTTATCGAAGTATTTGATATGTGTGTTTTTATACACCGCAAGGAACATATTGAGCTTTTAGCTCATTCTTCAATTCTTTTAACTTTTCAGATATTACTCGACAATAGGCTAGCAGACTTGGCATAAGGAGGATTGTTTATTCTCCATTTTGTATCACTATATATTTCTATATGCCATTTCTGTTATATTTTGGTTACACTTGTTTTACTACCGCTTATATATCTGTATTACTGGTATTTTGTTTTCCGATGGTGACATCCCTGTATATTTACCGCTTGGACTTTTTTGATCGTTATATCAACACTTTATCATTTCTTAAATTTTATTTACTGAAATAAATTTGGTCTGCCTTTAAATATGAAAATGAATTCTGTATGCGACATGTGATCGTATAGATTCGGTCGAAACTCCCAGGCCGAGTCTAGGGGTTACAATTTTAACGATAATAATTTGTTTTAAATTGTGAATAATTGTTTTTATTAACTTTATCAATAATAAGTTATTAGTTCAATAAAAGTTTTTAGTATATTTACAATTTATAAATATAAAAACTAAATATATTAATTTAATGGTCATAGTTATTCATATACCTTAAATAGTGAAGAATTATTTTGTCACGTTATATTATCATATATTCAAAATCCCACAACTTCATCAATTGCAACTTACAAATTAAGTAAATATAAAGTAAAATTAAAATTAGATCAATTTAATAAGAAGTCAAATCATTTATATGTTGATTCAATTACATGTCAAGTTCATAACATGTTGAGTAATATCATTTATTTAGCAGGTTAATCTCGGATTCGAGTTCATATCAGGTCGGATGCAGGTCGAGTTCACATCCAAAATTATCAGGTCTATCTCGGGTTCAACTCAACATCAGTTCATACTCTAATCAATTTTGTATTATCACCACCGTAAATCACAAACAATTCTAATTCAAATCAATTTCAGTTGGTTTTACATGTAGGGTAAGATTTTTACATCCCTATACTAAACTACAAAGGGAAACTAGATTCTAAGAAACATGCGCACTATTATCAAGTAAACTACATGCATACATAAAGGGTAAATCATATGTTTAGTATCCAACTATCACTTTTGTACTGTTTTATTAATTTAACTATTTTTTTAAATCATATTTGACATTACGTTTTGATTTTATTTTTGTTCACTCACATTTACAAAATTAATAAAACTATTGACATGACATTTGTTTTATTTTTTCAACAATGACATGATATTATCTTATAATAACATGTCAACATCACTGTTAATTTTTAAAAGTGGATGACTAAAATGAAATTAGAACTAAATATTAAGTATAAATTTAAACATAAATTGTTAGATGATTAAAACAACACAAAAATAATAATTAGAATACTAAACGTGTAATTTACCTATGTATATCAACCAGAAACCCTTGGCTTGATCGTTGCTTTCAAGGTGTTCTTCATCACTATGGTAAACTCAAATTTCCCACTAAAATCAACCTTGGTATTAACCGGATAAGCACTCCACTCAAATTCTTGAACCATTTTGGCAAACATTAAGGGCACATGCACCATCGCCATCCCCAATGCAGGGCAAATCCTTCTCCCCACGCCGAAAGGTATCATTTTCACCGCTTTCACCCCCGTTATATCAGCCTCCTCTCTCCCTAAATAGAATCTATCCGGGTCGAACTTGTCCGGCTCGTTCCAAATCCTCGGGTCGTCGCTGATCCTCGGAATGAATGTCTCCAGGTTCGCATCCGTCGGTATGTCGTATCCTCCTAGTTTTGCTTCTTCTTCAATGGCTGCGTGAGCCAGTGAAAAGTACGTAGGTGGGTGTTTTCGTAGCAGTTCTTTGACAAACGCTTGCAAGTACGTGAGCTTTTCGAGATCGGCTTCTTCTACTTTCCGATCACCCACCGTAGATTGAATTTCGTCGAACAGTTTGGTCTGGATTTCTGGGTTCTCGATCAGCTGTGCGACTCCCCATTCGATTGCGGTTGCGGTGGTATCGGTCCCAGCGTTGAGGAACTCGGAGCAAAGCGTTACGAGCTCTGAATTGGACGGTGGTGATTTCCTTCCTTCAACTTTGAGATCGAAAAGCGTGTCGAGGTACGAAAACGGCATGGCGGATCGATCAGAACCCGGGTTTAAAAGAGCTGCACGGCGGTTCTCGATTAACGGGACCATGTGTTCTATCTGCTCTTTACGAACTTGGAGCGCTCGCCTGCGTTGCTTGTAGAAAAACGGGCTTAAAATGGGAAGAAAATCATGGATTCTCGGAAGAAGTGTGATCAAAATAGATTTCATTACTTCATCCGTTTTCACGACGGTTTCTTCGTCCATCTCGACTCCAAAACACATGGCTAAGAGTATGCAAAACACCGCGAAACGAGCGTTTTTCAGCACCGAGACGACGCCGTCGTTGGCATCGGCTTCGGCTTTGAGACGGTCGATGAGTCTATCCATCGCATGCTTTCTAAGAGTACGAAACTCTTTGAGTTTACTGGAGCTCAGCATGTTCTGAACCATGTTCCGCCTCAGGGACCGCCACACGGGGCCGTAAACGGCGGAGTTAACGGTGAACTTGTTGCAGCTAAAGATGTTTCGGGTGGGGTTTTCCCGTGGCCGGCTGGCGAAGAGTGCGCTTTTCTCGATAAACGCTTCGTGACAGAGCTTGGCGTCGCTGACTATAATCAGGGTTCGAGCCCCCATCCGGAGAGTGAAAATGGGTCCGTATCGACCACAAAGATGGTCGATGTATTCAAAGAATGATTTACCGGAGCTGAAAGGTTGAAAAAGATTGCCGACGAGAGGCCAACCAGGGGGGCCCGGAGGGAGGCTGAGCCGGCGTTTGGCCCTTGATTTGCGAGAAAGGAACAAAACCAGACATGGAATGACGAATGCAAGGACATGGTAAAACGAAGAATCCATTTTTGGTGGCCTGATTCCGCTTTCTGAATTTTATATTTTCACCCATATGATCAAATTTTACAAGTGTTTTATATTTCCCCCCGAACTTGATCCGAAACATGAGGATAAAAGTCTGGCCGGACTTTACTATACCCGACATTGATCTTCAAAACCTCAAATTCATTGGTCTAAAAATAGAACACCAGACAAAAAACTCAATACGTGGAAAACCCAAAAATAGAATTAGAAAAGAATGCAACATAAACTAAAAAGGAGGGGGGGAAATACCGATTCAAGTCCCTTCACCTTCACAACTGATTCAACATGAGCTCCCTCAGTCTAACAAAAATATTTTATACATATAAAACATAAGAATGGATCCCAAAAGTAAAGTCATGAGTTTGAATTATGATGTTTGCGAATTAAATAAACTAAGTTGAAAGGTTACCCATAATTCTTTACAAAACTTGATCCTAAATAATTGATCGGTACAATTCTAATGGATTATTTTATGCCCTTGTTTACTTCTCAAGGATTCTAAAATGCAGATGAGATATTGGAAGGTACCGATATGTGTATTTTCCAAGACATCAACTCAACCTTGCTTCAAAAAATGAGTCCTCTTAAAGTTTTGATGTGGGTGGTTTGGATGTAGCAATGGATATTTCATTCAGATCCTACATGTTTTCATTTGATCCCATTTAGGATCAGTTTACAATTATTTTTGAAAAGTTCAAAAATACTTTTAGGAAAAATTAAAAAGTAAATATAGAAAATTGGGTAGTGTTTAGTATTTTGAATAGTGCTTTTGAAAATATAAATAATCATTTTAGACATGATGTTGTAAATTTAAAACATATATTTAAATAATTTTTAATTTTTTAGTATTATACTATATAACATATATCAACTTAAATTCTAATAATATATAAAATCATTTTATTAATAAATATATAATTTTTTAATAATTATATGTATTCTATGAAAATATATAAAATTAAAAATAATTTCATAGAAAAAAATTGACATAAAAATAAAAAATCATAAATAATTTATTATGATTTTTTAAATTTATCATATGAATAATAAAGATGTTAAAACAGTAATTTGGCTCTAAAACCACTTTTTCAAACCTAAAATCTAAAAATTTCAAAATTTGCGTTTGGATTGAAAAACACTTTTCAAATGTACTTTTAGAATATGTTTAACATTGTCTATAGTTCCAAAATTGCTTTCGGCCTCAAAAGCACTTTTGGAAATCAATGGAGAATGGGCCAATTGATATTAAGAGTAAGATTGGATTGGATTCGGTTTTAAGATAAAAAATTTAACATAAACAAATATATATTTTTAGTTATTTCTTATATATTTAAGGATAATTATAATTTTTTAAAATTAGACCTTATTTATTTAGTATAAATAATTATATATATATATATATTAGGTCTTCTCAGTATATATATTTAACTTAAAAAATTATATCAAACTTTAAATTAAATGAGGCTCTCTTAAACCTTGATTAGGTCGAATGTTGATTAAGAGATTTCATTTCTGAGTCGGATTTAGATAGGCGGAAAGCTCAACTTCATCTCACTAGTGAATCCCGAATGGATGAGACTCAATTTCATCTCACTAGTTTATGCAAAATATCATATACAAATTGCTCCCAAAATGACAGTGAACAGATTTCAAGAGGTACTTCAATTACATATGAAATGACCATCCAGCTCAGTTGGTAGAGCACAAGGTTCTTAACCTTGAGATCGTGGGATCGAGTCCCACGGAGGGCATTTCATAATTCGGAGGTCTCTTACGGAAGCTGCTCTCAACCTAATGTTAGGGGTAGTATACTATCTTACCTCCCCTTAACTCATACATATGGGAAAAAGGGACAGCCATTTACTTCAATTACATATGAAAAAAGCACAAAGTGCTTCTGTCCCTAAGAAGCTAATTTCTGATAATATTTTGGAAACTTATAAGATTTTATAGTCCTTTACAGATATGAGATTCGGAAATTTAACTATAGATTTCTTGTTTAACGCAGTTTGTCAATTCTGTCTTATTCAATGGGGATGAATGGAGTGGTTCACAATTGATTCTATCTATCTAGGGGTCTTTTCTAGGAAGATCTTATTACGCATCTCTTTTTAATTTTAAGCAAGGGATCTCATCACTTCCTAGAATAATAATAGCTTTTCTATTAGTGTAGGGGAATACAAGTAATATATGTTTGAAATTTTTTTAATCGTTTGATAATAAATACGCATATACCTCTGCAGATGTTATGTTTAAACTCAAGAGTTAAAAAAATAACAACAATCCCTTAATCACTGAGTTTATTTGATTCGTACGAGAATAATAATAATAAATGACAATTTTAGGGGTGCTAAAGTGGTATGGAGACATTGATGACGGTTGTAACCCGCCTAGAGGTGGCAATCGGTTCATTCAGATCGGGTATGGGTTGGGTTATTTCGGTTCAGGTTATTTTGGGTATAGATTAGTTCGGTTTAGATTCGGTTCAGGTCGGATCGGATTTGGTTCGAGTTTAGTTCGGATCAATGGAAGTTCAGTTCAGGTCGGGTATCGGGTCGAGTCAAAATCGGATCAGTTGATTTTCAGGTCGGGTTAATATCAGATCGATTGACTTCAGACGGATTAATATCGGATCGGTTGATTTCGGTTTAAGTTAACCGTTAGATTTTTGGGTCAATTCGGGTCGGTTTTAATTCGGTTCAACCTTTAGATTAACTTATAATTCAAGAAATTTATATGAACATATATATTGTCACATCTTAATTTTAGAGTTATAAGTTTTAGTCAATTGGATCAATAAATCTTTAAAATAATTTTTTTACGTAAATATATATTGTCTCAATTCAAATTCAAAGCTATAAGTTATTTCATCAGACATAGCGATGATATTTTAACTGAGAAAGATTATATTGAATCATTAAACTATTACTATAAGTGTGATTAACTAGTAGTATAATATAAAGTAAGAATAAATTAAAACATAGATCATTTTACTATTTATCAAAGCTAAAATCAGATAATAATAAAAATTAAATAAATAAATTATTCATTCATTTAGACTCAATTATCGGGTTAAAACCGGGTCGAAGTTCAATTCTGATCAGGTATGAGTAAACTAAATTTGGGTTGCTTTCGATTCAGGTTGTTTTAGATTCGGGTTGCTTTTGGTCCGGGTTAATTTCGGTTCGAGATACTTTCGATTCAACTAAAGTTCATGTCGGTTTTGATTCGATTCGGGTCATTTCAGATTTTCAAATCAATTTTGAGTCATCATGTTCAAATCTATATCGGGTCTCAAATCAGATAATCGTGTACGAGGAAAATTTGCCATGTCTAAACCCGCCTCTTTTTTGCCAACAAAAGCCTTGTACTTGGAAAAACAAAGGATATTGGCCACAAATTTGAAGGATCTATTGAATTTATATACAAATCGTTCAGGTTAGATGATAAACTTTGATAAATCAATTTTTTCGAATAATTTGAGATGATTAAAATGTAATATTTATTTAAATATTTTTTAATCATTGATAATGTACTTATCTTACAAACATAACTGTTCGAATCCAACATCTCTAGAAAGAAAAATACTCATGTTAACCATTGAGTTTGCTTAATAGATTCTATATCGAGTTTTTTTAATGTGAATTTCATTGAGAAAAATAGTTTGGATGTTTGTTGATTCATAGGAGTAGATACTAGTAACGATCCATGTACATATTTGGTTTTCCATCTATTGTATTGGTAGTTTTGCTCAAATAATGTATTGCCAAAATTGTCTCATATAATATGTTGGAATTATTATTATTATTATTATTATTATTATATTATTATTATTATTATTATTATTATTATTATTATTATTATTATTATTATTATTATTATTAAGATCATTACTACATTATCCTATGGGAGATTATAAGATTATATAACGACATCTGAAAGACGTATGGATTACTTGACGTATTTTGAAAGACATCGTTCAAATTGTAATATTTTTAGCTTGCAGACATACATACAATCTAGGAAAATGTCAAGTGATTTATGTATCTTCTCAAAGACGTCAAGTGGTATATGCATCTTCTCAAAGACGTATAGACTTTTATTGGATAATTGTTTTTCAAATTATTATTTGGACAATTTTATCATATAATTTTATGAAGAAAAATACTTATTAAATTAGATTTTTTTTGAAAAAACATAGATATGCAAAAAAGGATAATTAAAATTATTAAAATGTGACTTAATTGATAAGGTGAAGACAAAACAAACTTGCTTCAAGGAGTTTCTACAATGCAATGACGACGAAGAAAGGTCGAGAGCTAAACAAAGATACCAGGAGGCAAAACGGGAGGCCAAGAAAATGGTAGCTAAAGCAAAGGATAAGGCATACGAGGAAATGTACAAGAGATTAGACACCAAGGAAGGACAAAATGGCATCTTCAGACTTGCAAAATCTAGGGAGATTAGGAAAAAGGATCTAGGTAACATTAGGTTTATTAAGGACAACAATGGTGTTCTTTTAGCGAAAGACCACGATATTAAGAGGGTTTGGGGTAGTTACTTCTTTGGCTTATTTAATGACGGTGCCTCTCCATGTAGAGATAGTATCGTTGATGGGTTAGCCGACTATCATACTACGACCAATGACTGCCCTACAAGTAGGATTGGGTTTGAGGAAGTCAAAATGGCCCTTAGAAAGATGGGAATGGACAAAGCTGTCGGTCCTGATCAAATTCCTATCACTGTGTGGTTGGCCCTAGGAGAAGAGGGAGTTAAGTGGTTGACCAACCTCTTTAATATTATTTTAGAGACTGCCAAGATGCCAGAGGAGTGGAGAGAGTCTACGGTGATACCAATCTATAAAAATAAAGGAGATCCCCAATGTTGTGGTAACTACAGAGGTATTAAATTACTCAGCCATACCATGAAGCTATGGGAAAGGGTGATAGAGACTAGGTTAAGACAAGTTACTAGGGTTTCGGAAAACCAATTTGGCTTTATGCCAGGCAGGTCTACCACGGAGGCGATTCATCTACTTCGACGGCTTATGGAGAAATATAGGGAAAAGTCTAGAGATCTTCACATGGCGTTCATTGACCTTGAGAAGGCTTATGATAGTGTACCCCGCGATACGATCTGGAAGACTTTGGAAACGAGACGGATCCCAACTGCTTATATCCGGGCGATTCGTGATATGTACTGTAGATCTACTACTTACGTCAGGACTACAGTTGGCGACTCCGAGGCATTCCCGGTGGAAATCGGACTCCACCAGGGGTCGGCTCTTAGCCCTTACATCTTCGCCTTGATTATGGACGACATCTACTGTGCGACACCAGACGGTGTACCTTGGTGTATGCTTTTCGCTGACGACATTGTCCTAGTTGCTGAAACAAAATCTGAGTTGAATAGTAGACTGGCTACCTGGAAGACTGCTTTGGAAGAAAAAGGTTTAAGGATCAATATTGAAAAGACAGAGTATTTATGTTCAAACTTCAATGGGAACCAAAACGATGAAGATGTAGAAGTATGCATAGAAGGACACGTTCTCCCCTCAAAGGATTGTTTCAAGTATCTAGGGTCTATGATACATAAAGATGGGGGTGTAGATGATGACGTTACACACCGTATAAAGGCGGGATGGCTAAAGTGGAGGGCCGCTACTGGAGTTCTGTGTGACAAGAAGGTGCCTCTAAAACTTAAGGGAAAATTTTATAGAATGGCAATAAGACCAGCAATGTTGTATGGATCAGAATGTTGGGCAACCAAGAAGGATCACGTAAGGAGGATTGAGGCCGCAGAAATGAGGATGCTTCGATGGACATGTGGTAGGACTCTATGGGATATGACGACTAACTCTGCTATTAGGATGTCCTTGGGGGTGGTGTATGTTTCCGAAAAATTGAGGGAGGGAAGACTACGGTGGTTTGGGCATGTCCTTAGACGACTACCGTCGGATGCGGTCAGGAGGGTAGAATCGATTACAGTCGACGGTGCCAGAAGGAAAGGACGACCAAGGCGGAAGTGGGAAGACTGCTTGAGATCTGATTTGAGGGATTTAGCCCTTACCGAAGACATGACCTCTGATAGGAAAATATGGAGGCTAAAGACTAGGGTAGTCGAGTAGTGTGGGTCACATCTATAGGGTGTATCATCTCTGTCTTCTTTTAATGTCTTTGTAGTATTTTCCATGACTTCTACTTTTTATATGTTTATGTTATTGGTATTTATGAAGGATTAGAACTGCGCTTGCTATCGTTGACTTTTGTGTATCATTCTCTTCATGTTTCCTCTTTTAAATTTAGCCGGGTCTTATGTTTCTGTCTATATGCAGAGATTCTTTCGCAGGGATTATTATGCAGGGATTAATTCCCGTTACAGACGCACATATGATTTTAATGACTGCATATGAATATTGTTTAGCTATGTATTTATTTATATATGCACTGCATTTTATCTATATTTTTAATTTTCTGACTGCCGGAGGTCTTCCACGGAAGCTACTCTCAACCTGGCGTTGGGAGCAGCCTACTACCCTACCTCCCCCTTACCCCATACATATGGGAATTGGGTTTTGTTGTTGTTGTTGTTGTTGTGACTTAATTGATAAAATTTTAAAATATTAAATATTTATCAAATTATTTTAAATTGAGATTAAATTGATATAATATATAAGTTTTTATGGATTGCAATTATTTTTATTAATTTATATCGTCATCTTTATCAAGTCAATGATCAAATCTAAAAGCGAGTAACTAATATAAAATAAAGCGTAACATTATATATATTAAAAATAATTGGATGATCGAACAAAAATATGAAAATAGATACATGCCCAAATAAATAATTTATCCTAAATTGTAAATCAAAACGAAACTTTTTAAACTAAATTTATGGTAAGTACACAAATAATCATCTAATTATAAGGCGATGTTTTATTGAGTTTCTTGACTATTAAAATTTATGGAATGATCTTTGACTATATAACATTATTTTGTTGAGTCATCCGACTATTAAAAGTTACAAAATGGTCATCGGATAATTAATATGTTATATACTTGTCATTTTTCGTGCAAAAATTGGAGCCTATATGAGCTGGACATTAGCATGTTGACTCGAATATGATAGGATTTGATCTAGAATTATTTGAGCTATATTTTTTCGTTTACATTATGTCATCAAATCAATGCTTGAAACAATATATCGTTAAGCCTATGCTTAAAAGAAACAACGATGCAAGTAGACATTATTAAAATATAAGTTTATCATATCTTAATCAGCTGATTAATGTCAAGCTCAGAAGGTCATCAAATTTTTAACGGAAAATAACGAGTTTGAAATATATAAACAGTCGAGTGATTATTTTGTAACTCTTAATAATTGAAGTACTCAAAAAAATAATATCATATAATTAGAGGGAGTCAATAAAATGTTATCACTCACTAAACTAATATTCTATAATTAAGGAATTATTTTATAACATTTAATAATAGAGAATAACACAATAACATTATAGATAGGGATTTAGGGATGGACATGAGATTTAAATCCGTCGAGTTAATTTTTTTTTATAAAAATTTCAGGTTTAGTCGGGTCAGGTCGGATTTTTTTAAGTTGGGTCAGATTCGGGTTTAGGGTAAAAAATATCTGACTTCACCCTATCCTAAAAATATAATTTTATCTTATATATTTAAGAATAATTACAATAATACACTTTTATATATTATTTTTTCAATTAAATAACTGTTTTTATTGAATAACAAATATTTTTTATTATTTGAGGTTGGATCGATTCGGATTCAAATTTTATCTCAAAAAATCGAGCCAGATTCAATTCGAGTGGAAAATATATATTTTTTAAGTTGAATCAGTTCGAGTGAAAGATGTAAATTTTTTAATCGAATCGAATTGATCGATACCCGACCCAACCCATTCCTATGGATCAGTGTGTACTTTACCATCCTAGAGTTGAACGTAGGAAAATCTCACCTAATAACTCAGCTTTACATAGCTCAATCAATGCTGCAGCAAAGGCAAGCGGAGACTGACAGTTTCAGAGGGAAACCCCGTGTCAAATAGATCTATCCGCATTTACTTAACTGACACCTTTTTACTTTTAATATTTTATTTTTAACACTTATTAATCAATATTTCTTAAAGTAGCACTCTTTCGACTGACGTATCACAAAAGCGTATTTGGGGACGCGCTTTCACGAGATTCTGATGACTCGGATGTCACGTGTGGAAGGTGCATCCCCAGGGACGCACCTTTCATTTGGGTTCTGTTGAGTCAGATGTCACGCTGGTATTTCTTTTAATAATAAAAATTTTATTTTTATTATTATTATAAATAATTAATATGTTATGTAAAGTGTTTCGATTATAATTTAAAAACTATCGAATGTATTTTTTAAATGTATGAAATTATAATATTACACGTATTGTTATATATCTATTATTTTTTTATTATCGATCTATTAATTTTATCAATTAATTATTTAAATGTTATTATCTAGTCATTTGTTATCAATATTTAAAGAAAATATTAATGCATAAGTTAATAAAATTAATATAGTTACATATTTAATATTCAATAGTTACATATTTTATCAATTTAGTTTTACTTTTAATTTGTTTAATTTAACCATTTTTCTCTACTTAGAAGGTAGAATTATTATAATATTTTAAAATTAATAATTAATTTTTTATAATAAATATTATAAATATTTGGAGATATAGTCAGCATCCAATCGCAACAACATTTCACTTTCGTAGACAAAAAATTATAATTAGCACAAAATATAATTAATTAATAAATTTAAATAAATAATAATTATATAAATATTATTTTAATAAAAAATAATATTTATATAATTATATTACTATAAAATATAAAACTATTTAAAAAAATATAAGAGAGGATAAGATGATTTTGGTGTGAAGAATGAGGTAGGGTTGAAGGAATTTATATAGGGGAGGAGGAGGGGTAGTTGGGGAAAAATAGATGGTGGCATTTATAACATTTAATGGAAGACGTGATATCCGAGTCATTAGAATCCCGTAAAAACGTGTCCGCGAAAATGCGTCAGCCAAAAGATGCTATTTTGAGAAATATTAATCAACGGGTGTTAAAAAGGAAATATTACAGGCAAATGATGTAGTAAATAGGCCATAGATCTACACGTTGAAGAAGTGTAAATTTCCCAAATTTATGAACTGAAAGAAGAGTAGTCGCATGTAATAAATTCGTTTTCACAAATTTCCTTCTTTTGCATTCATTTTGCTTTTAGGTGGTTTCTTTGCAGCTCGGCCATTAATGGGACCTTCCATGTGCAGGCTTTAATGGAACCCTACCTGCAATTTCATGCGCCTCTCCCTTTTTATACTAATCTCTCAGCTAATCTTTATCCTTGCAGTTTCATCTCGAAAATGACTGCTTTTATGTACAATCTCTTTGCATTCGTAATTTCATGCCTGATTTTGATCCTTTCTTGCAAATCAAGAGCCAAACGCCTTAACCTACCTCCGGGTCCCCCTGGTTTGCCTGTCGTCGGCAATCTTTTTCAAGCTTCTCGCTCTGGGAAACCCTTCTTTGAATACGTCGATGATCTTCGTCGCCGATATGGACCCATTTTCACTCTCAGGATGGGCACTCGAACCCTGATTGTACTCAGCGACGCCAAGCTCTGCCACGAAGCGTTTATCGAGAAGAGTGCACTCTTCGCCAGCCGGCCACGGGAAAATCCCACTCGAAACATCTTTAGCTGCAACAAGTTCACCGTCAACGCCGCCGTTTACGGCCCCGTGTGGCGGTCCCTCAGGCGGAACATGGTTCAAAACATGCTTAGCTCAAGTAAACTCAAAGAGTTTCGGACTGTTAGAGAGCATGCAATGGATAAACTCATCGACCGTCTCAAAGCCGAAGCCGATGCCAACGACGGCGTCGTCTCGGTGCTGAAAAACGCTCGTTTCGCGGTGTTTTGCATACTCTTAGCCATGTGTTTCGGCATCGAAATGGATGAAGAAACTGTCGAGAAAATGGATGAAGTAATGAAAGCTGTTTTGATCACAGTCACTCCAAGAATCGATGATTATCTTCCCATTTTAAGCCCGTTTTTCTACAAGCAACGCAAGCGAGCGCTCCGAGTTCGTAAAGAGCAAATAGATTACATCGTCCAGTTCATCGAGAAACGCCGTGAAGCTCTTTTAAACTCGGGTTCGGATCGATCCGTCATGTCGTTTTCGTACCTCGACACCCTTTTCGATCTCAAAGTTGAAGGAAGAAAATCACCACCGTCCGATTCAGAGATCGTCACGCTTTGCTCCGAGTTCCTCAACGGCGGAACCGATACCACTGCAACCGCGATCGAATGGGGAATCGCACAGCTGATCGAAAACCCAGATATGCAGTCCAAACTGTTCGACGAAATTCAATCCACGGTCGGTGATCGGAAAGTAGAGGAAGCCGATATCGAAAGACTCACCTACTTACAAGCGGTAGTCAAAGAACTGCTACGGAAACACCCACCCACGTACTTTTCACTCACTCACGCAGCTGTTGAGGAAGAAGCAAAATTAGGAGGATACGACATACCGACGGATGCGAACCTGGAGATATTCCTGCCGGGGATCAGCGACGACCCGACGATGTGGACCGACCCGGAAAAGTTCGACCCGGATAGATTTTATTTAGGGAAAGAGGAGGCTGATATAACGGGGGTGAGAGGGGTGAAAATGATGCCGTTCGGCGTGGGGAGAAGGATTTGCCCTGGTTTGGGGATGGCGACGGTGCATGTTCACCTGATGATGGCCAAAATGGTTCAAGAATTTGAGTGGAGTGCTTATCCGGTTAATGGGAAGGTAGATTTTAGTGGGAAATTGGAGTTTACCGTAGTGATGAAGAACGCCTTGAAAGCAACGATTAAGCCAAGAGTTTCAGGGTGAGATATATATACTTGTGTATGTATATGGTTTTCTTGGTGATTGTATGCATGTTTCTCTTTGTACTTTAGTAGCTGTTCTTGATTCTTCCTGGGTTTTTGTTTTTTAATATGAAAAAAAATAATATTAAAATGTTATTTTTTTTTGTAGGGAAGTCTTCCACAATTTAATATACGGTTAAGAAAATACTTTAGCGGTTTTGTTATTATTTTTTTTAATGGAATAGGTAAAAAATTACCGGAAACATTATTATTTCTATCGATTTTATTATTATTGGACGCTTTATCGGGTTTGATAGTATATCAGGTAGAAAAATAATATTTTAGGTAACATTTTATCGAATATATTACCAGACTCGGTAAAACGTTCAATAATATTTTAGGTAGAAATAATAATATTTTTAGTAATTTTTTATCGATTTTATTAAAAAAACATAACAAAACTGATAACATCTTTTCTTAACCGTATATCAAAAAATATTTGATGGTGCGAACCCATAGAGCGATTTAATCAGGATTTTGTTGATTAAAGAGAAATGTTTTTCTCTTCAAATGTTAAGAGTTCTAATAACTATGTCTATAAAATATGTGTGCTTTTAATGATCAAAAGATAAAGATATCTTTTTATAATCAACTCAAATTGATTATATAAAATTTGTATTATTTTTAATAGTTTAATAATCCAATTACCAAAATGAATTTTTTTCTTATCGACAATGACTAATAAAAAAAATTTAATTTCAGTAACTTAAGAGAAAAGTATCGTAAGTTCAATGATTATTAATGTAATTTACTTTATTATTTAAATTATTAATGATTAAATTCATAAATAATAATAAAATGAATAATCACTTATATTTAAATTCACATCATTAATGAACCTATTAAGTGGAGACAATGATAAAAAGGAATGTTGATCTTCTTAGGTCATGGATTGAGTCGTGGTATGCAAGATATATTTTTTCGACCATTAAAAGTTACAAAATAGTTTTTTTGATTATATAGTGTTTCGTTGTTGAGTCTTTCGACTATCTAAAGTTACAAAACAGTCACCTAACTTTTCCTATGTCCCAAACTCATATTTTTCTACTAAAAGTTGATGGTATTCTGAGCTGAACGTTAACTTCCTGATTGTGATATGATAAAATCTGATATCAGAATCTCAAACGACTATCATATCTCAACCATAATGTTTACGTCCAATTTAGACAACCCCCATTTTTTAACAGAAAATGATAAGTTTGGAACATAATAAATAATCGAGTGATCATTTTGTAACTTTTAATAATCGATGGACTTAATAAAACAGAACCTAATAATCGGGAGACTATTTGTGTACTTTACCCAGTTTTATTTCATGCCAATAGCTTCGGAACATGCCTTGAAAACCATATCTTAATTCACACAATAGTCAATAGATTAATTAGCTAAAACAATATAATGTTAATATTGTACATAGACTCGACCCCAATCCAATTCCCCCATAAACGTACCTTTACATGTGATCATAGCTGTAATGCAATCAACCAAAAGAAGAAATGCAAAGGGAATATGATTGGAGGGAAAATTATAGAGAGTTTCTATAATAGTTCACTAACCATTTCCAATATTAGTCTCCATTCATACAACCCTCAAATTTTAGTTCGAAGAAAAAATAGGGATTAAATAGTAATTTTATGATACAATCCACGTTCTCTCTTCAACCTATTTTAGGTCAATGAATTAGTTTTAATCGAATCAAACTCCGATAATTTACATTCAATACCTAATTAGATAATTTCTTAAGTGGCAAATTGCCATTAGTGGCATTGATTATTAATTCTATCATTTTCGAATTTTTTTATCTTTAACCTAGTTACATCTACACATAATGAAATTAAATAGATTTGTAGGCCTGTAAACGAATCGAACGAACACGAATAAAAGTATGTTCATGATCGTTTAATTTTAACTGAATAAACGAACGAACACAAACTACCAAATAAATAAAATTTCTTGTTTGTGTTCCATCGTTAAAGAATTTAATTTGTTTGTGTTCGTTCATATTCGTTCGTTTAAATAACAAACGAACAGAAAAAACAGTGAAATATTTGAAATAAGCAGAAAAAGAAAAGAAGAGAACGATGGTAAATTTACCTCATAACATAAAATCATGCATTCGTATTTATTCTTTGCTATACATTTGTTTCATCAATATCTAAGAGTAAACATAAAGCGTTTAGATATCACGTCGTTTACAACACTGCTTTATATAAAACTGACATGCATTAAGGACTAACCAGCATCCTAAGATTGAACTTGAATACAACAAGTGTGGAACATTAGTCCCCGTGAACACAACAATGATGAAGAAACAATATCCTACGACTAAGATGGCCCCTTCCCAGAATTCATCATGCATAAAAACAAAAAAACCAGCATCCTTGAATTATAAACGCCAAGAAAATAAAATGAATGTTCTGTAAACTAAGAACAAACAGAACTGCAGGTGACAAATAGCACCCTACGATCGAAACACCGAGTTTCGGAACTCGGTGAGCAGCGAACATGAGCACTGCCAATGCGATGAACAATATCGAAAATATCATGATGACCTTGAATGTTAACTGGGGTGGAGCAATCAGAAATATGAATTGGACGAAGCATATTGCTAGGAATACGAACCGTATCTGAAGTGCAATCCTGAAACCGAGGGAGAAAGGTTTAAGGAGGGATAACGTTAGGAAAAATGCGACGAGGAAGACGATATAGGTCGGGATGAAGAACAAGAGAAAGATAGATTTATGCATGATTGATATCCCCATTTTGACTGCGTCATGAACTCCGACGGCATCGGTGGATATCCAGGAGGTTTTATCGGTAAAACAGCCATAGGCGGGCTGAGAGTGGCTTGGTAGGTTGCGGTTAGAAGCAATCCTAGAATTAATAGCAAGGCATTGCGGTCGTCGCCTGAAATATTATCGGTATCGTAGGAAAACAGCGACGATGCCATGATCATGTAGTCGACAATCTGTTTCTTCAACTTATAGTGAAAGTCTGAAACTCTTGGACAAAAGCAACTACGCAAAATATTAATGCATTCTTTGTTATTATGCTTTTGTGCCAGATCTAACGCTATCAAACCATCCTGATTAGCCACATTCTTATCTGCCTTGCATTCCAATAGAAGTTTGAGCACCTAGTTAGATGCAAACACAGGCCATTATCAGTTAACCACTAAATACAAGAGGATTTAGGTTAAATTACAAAAGGATTTAGGTTATAGTATACAAATGGTCCCTCAATTATTGGACTCTTCTTTGTTGAATCCCCAGACTATTAAAAACTAAAAAATAGTTACCCAACTATTTATATGTTATAAACTCGTTATTTCACTAAAAAATTGATGATTGTCTAAGTTGGACGTTAACCTAATTACTAAGATATAATAAAATCATATTTTATGATGACTATTTGCACCATCATTGTTTTCAAGCACTAACTCAATAACATAATGTAAACGGAGATTCGATCCATAAAAAAACAACCCAAACGGTTCTAGGATTAGATTTTATCATATCTCAGTTAAAAGGTCAACGTCTAGCTCAGACGACCGTCAATTTTTTAACGAAAAAAGATGAGTTTGGAATATTTGAATAGTCAAATGATCGTTTTATAACTTTTAATAGTCAGAGACTGAACAAACCAGAATCCTACAGTCGGTGACCATTTTATAACTTTTAATAGTCAGAGATTCAACAAAGCAGTGCCTTAAAATCGGAGAACTATTTGTGTACTTTACCGAAAAATATATATGTATAGAGTGGATGGAGATTGTCGCCGGCAGCTATGTGTAGCACAGTGTTGCCATCTTCGTCCTTCTGGTTCTTTACTTCTCGATAATAGTCTTTCTTCCTAAGCATTCGGATTAGGATTTCGAAAACATCGAATCTCTTGTTTTTCACTGCGATGTGCAAAGAGGTACAATTCTGAGTCGTGACATCTCGGATACAATCAAGACAAGCTTCAAGAAAAGTATCCAACAGCACATATCGGTTATCAATTTTACTGATGTAATGAAAGGAGTCTCGCCCTTTTTTCCTTTCACACGAACAAGATCTTTATTGATTTCGATGAACAGAAGCACCATCTCTTTATGACCTTTTTTAACAGCAATGTGGATGGGGCTCAAACCATGTTGGTTTAGCTTCCTGGCGAATGATGGCTTCAAGTTCATGATCTCCATTGCAAATCCAATGCACCCTTCTTTTGCAACTATGTGGAGTGGAGTGTCGATGAACTCGATCTCATGAAGCGCTTCAAAATGTTTCCGTCTCTCTGAATTAGTCTGTACAGTTCAAACTGTCATCCATTTGAGGAGGATAGCTGAAAGTGTTGGCTAATTAGAGCACATAATATAAAGACGAAAGGACAGAAATTGGTACGGTCAATTAATAGCCAACAAGGGATAAAAAGACAGAAATTAAAAGGTAAATACTGTTGGGAAATGCTTTCCTCCATGTTGAACCATACCTTTGTATCGACATTGTTTTCACCGGGCGGGGAAATATTGATACCGACTCGGAAGTTTTTTTTTTTGAAAAATGTTTTGAAATGTGAGGAGTCGTCACCAATAATTTAAGGTGCGATTGGAACACCGTAAAAACATAACGATTTTAATAAAACATTTTATTTTTATCAAAATATCGAGTTTTAAGGTCAGCGAAAATCCAGAAATTGGGTTTGAGAGTCAATTACGCGTGGAGAAGGATTAGCATCCCACAAGCGCCCAAAAATTGGTACCAAGTTGATTGCCCTATATTTAAAATCGGAAAATTTGAGTTCGATCTTTATTTAATTTAAAAATCATTACGGATTCAAAAAGTTAAAAAGGGTATTCGTTTATTGAGACCGATAGCATTCGCTCCCAAGCGTAAATGCGGGAGATCAACTATTGTGCCTAATAACCGATCATTGTCTTAATTTTAGAAAATATGATGCGGTTTTGAAAAGGATGTCGACCTATTTCGAGAATCACCAGTAGTCACCCCACTTGCGGGAGATGTACCATTAATTCGCTAATAAG